GAGTGGGAAGCTAGTACACTTTGTTCACACACACACTAAAGACGTGTATAAAAATCAGCTTTCTTAAATGCTGTGACTTTTCCAGGTAATCATTACTATTACCTGCCCTGGGCAAACACTAAGCCAGTGGTTGTGGTTAATTCATTCTGGGAGGACATCAGCCACCGCCTGGACACGGTCAACATCATCCTCTACATTACTCAGCACCTGGTAGTACTGCACTAACCTCTGTAATCATCAAAAACTTGATTTGAGTCATTCCCTGTAGGTTTGACGACATTACTGTGTTTACATACTAATATTTAATGTGCATGTGCCGGCGTGAGATGCTTAGAGGTGTCCAGAAATTGGGTCGTCGGGGCCCTTATCTTCGACTGCTGCCTGATCCACTGTGCACCAGCTCCTTAACAATCCTTCTGCAGGTGGTGGGCCCATGGGAGGACGTCCACACATCACTAGTTCGGGATAAGCCCGGCCAGGCCCTGTGAGGGGATGAGCCGCTCTTAGTCTGACCTGTCACCTAGGACCCGTTTGCCTTGGGAAACCCTACCAGGGGCATATAGCCCCCGACAACACAGCTCCTAGGATCATTCGGGTACTCAAACCCCTCCACCACAATAAGGTGGCGGTTCAAGGATGGGGGTGAGCTCCGTGATGCCTGATTATTCTGCTGCAAGGTGTGTAATATGTGCGAATCAGTGCAAAACACAAGATACTTCTGTGTGTGCACAAATAATTTGGTGTCCATTTATTTCTGGCCATGTAGTTCCTGTGTGCCTGTCCTCTAAACCTGTTTGCAGTTGCTCGACAGAGGGTTTGTGTTTGCTCCACATGCAGCCCTGACTGCCACAGACACACCAACACCTCACAAACACATTCTTAGGTTACTCTGCAGCAGTGGTATGTTGTTCCACAGCTTTCTATATTCAAGCTATGATGCATAACATTTGAAGAGAAATAATACTTTGGACACCTAGCTCAGATTTTCTGCAGTGCACAGTCTCCTTACCGAGGTAGGTTTTGCAAATCTTCTGTCTTTTGCAAAACAGCATCGGGTCGTGATGAGACAGTGACTCCCCAGAAGTTAAATAAGACGGCTTTCTTCTCAGGCATCTCGTCTGAGTGTGAGGGATGGGAAGAGTTCCTGCTCTCTCTGCTGCTGCACACTGTGTGTGTGTGTGTCAGCAAGGTAAACTCTGCCCTTTGCACTGAGCAGGTCCTCCAATGCGTCCTATGAGCTTACGCACACGTGATATACTCCTGTGCCAGAGTGCACATAACTTTTTATCCACAGTTACATGGTGCACATGGGAAACCTGCTTAAAATAACTTGTTGTATCACACAGATCTGCTACTGATCTCAGCACAGCTCAGCAGTTTATTAACAGGAATACTGGCAGCAACAGAGCTGCAGAGGATTATTTCTTACAGTTGTTCAAAGTGGTTGAAACCATGTTTAAGCTGAAAGATAATCAAGAACATTTGTCATGATCATCTTGTTTTAATGATAATGTTACAGGTATCAGAATATAACACCTGTAGGCAGATGTATATATCCTGGAATACAGGAAAGGAATAATTAGGCAGGGAGACGTGGCTTCACTTCGCTGAGTTCTCCGCCATTATGAGAAAAACCCAGCGAAGCACGCTAGATGGCTGCAGTCCATCGGGTAAGCCAGCCTCACACTGCCACCTACTGGTGAAAAAAAGTATTGTCCTATCCAACACTGGGTTATGTCATGTTTTGAGAAAACAAGATGTTTACATGAAAAATGCACATTTACCATTAATGCCATTATATACATTCAAACTAATGTGATCAC